TACTTTTATTGTTCTCTTAAGAAATATGTCAACTTGCACTGATATACTACTGAAGATTTAAGGATCTTCACTGAATGAACATATAGCGACAAGTTTGTTTAATATATTTTCATACCAAGTGAACATACATTTATACGCCTGTAGTTTTTTGTTCACCGGTAGTGTGGGCTCCTATCAGGTATTTTGATGAATGGTGTACGTCTGCTCTCAGATACCTCTTCAAAGTTCGATAATCTTCTATCAGTCTCTCTCTCAGACACACAATAATACCCAGCTAACGTGATTATGGGATGAATATTACATACAAATTCAGATTATATTAAATGTAGGTTTTTTGTTGACTGTCAAGTAGATAATAGACAATTCTCTTAATTTCATAGTTTTCATTAATAAATATAGTAAGTTAATTAACAGCTTTTATAAAAAAGCTAGTACTAGTATGACGAAAAGAGATTAATTTATTAGCTTTAATTTGAGATATTAATTACGATTGAATCTATCCTCATCTAGTCACTAGGGCTCAGAGAAAAGGTGTGAAAACGTGTTAGAATAAGTGAATAGATGGATGAGTGAATGGACGAAATCGATATGACATTATTTTTAATTATTGTCATTTAGTAATTATATGTGACTCACATGTTCACACATGAAGTTGACATACTTACACACATAACATGCACACATACACATACAATACGTTGAATAATAACGATAATAACCTTATAGAGAACATTTATGAACATGATTATTTCTCAATGATCTCATATTTGACACCATAATTTGTTTTAATCATTAATATTCTGAGTTCGATGATGCAATACTGAAATTTACATTGTTATTATTCAAATTGCTATTAGATAAGAATAATAGTCTATTGATATTAACTGTGTGAGTTCTATTGTTTGATTCAGTAGTTAGTAACAAATATCATATTGCTTAACTGTTACAGATCTGAAATTTCATGCTAACACTTCTAGTTGTGACAATTGAATCGTCCTAGTCCCATGCTACTACTGATTGTTATTGACTAGTTCTGTTGGTAAAAGGAAGTGCGTTTGATGTGCTTACTAACTCATCTGTTCACTTTTGCTCTTTTTCTTCATACACACACACACACTGCTGACCAAGCTCATTCCAGTACCGAAAATACCTTCAGACTAGAAGCGAATTAATACTCTAATCTGTGATGATGGCTGATGTTTAATAATTATATTTTAAATTTAACTACTAAGAAGAACATTTTATATGAGCAATATACTTTGATTCATGTGAGATTATCCAAAGCCATTGAAAATAAACCATGATTTTTAATTATTTGATTATGTGTGCATGTGAACAAGATAAGGTCAACAATTCGAGAGATCTGTTTTTCTTTTTTCACGAAATCGAATATGCTCAACATTTTATTCAGTCTTTGAGTGACCTCTTGAAAGATTAAATAACATTTTTCTCTACTTAATTAGTTGTTAGTAGTATTCAAAACCACTATGATATGTATTCAGTATTCATGAGATTTCAAAGATCGTAATTACAATCTAACCTAATGAATATCTGAAGTCAGTCAACAGTCGCCACAAGAATAGAACTACATCTGAATAATATACAACGATAGATGAAAGGTTAGTGTCATCCAGCAGTTCAGTAAATAACGTTCCAGGATTAAAAACAATTAGCGTGTAAATTTTGAATCTTAGTGGAACGTAACAATAACAATAATGAACCGGTGTTTCAAAATCTGTCCCTAAAAAAACACAAAAAATGCATTTTGAACTTGACTGGTAGTCACTGTCTACTAATATAAACTATACAATAATACAGGTTGCATAAAAAAAATTTGTTCAATAATTTCTTATGTTAAATAAGAAGGATTAACCAAAGAACAACCGAGAACCATGGTATATTGGACAGCAATGATGATCATTAACTTAAACTAATCGTAAAAACTATTCCCAGTCAAGCATTATTTGTATTCTGATTAGTGACTAACTTTGAGTTAAATTTTCACAGTTCTAGTGAAAATCCACGATTTGTGGAACTCAACCATGACAAGAATGAACTATTTGCTCGATAGTTATGTAATATCGATAATCGACTAAAATTTAAATTTCAAACGATTGTATACTAATTCAGAAGTCTTAAGTTTGATCTCAGATAAATTCATGAATCCAAACTACTTAAGACTTATATACAAAGACAAAACACATAGACTAATGCTACCTGACCTCCATTGGTACCTTCATTGAGAACAAAGATCTCTCATGAATATAACCTACACTTTTTATTTATTCACTATTCTTCATTCTATTCATTTCCTCTACATTAATAATACGTATTTATGCACGTATCTATGTATGCATTCATCTAGACGTATACATATATACAAATAATTGCTTAACATTTAAATTTTATTTCCATGATTTCCATTGATAGAAATAGTTTTACAAACTATTTACCAATACAAAAAAAAGATTTGTTCAGTTTCTTTAATGACTTCATTTTGTAGCCATTACTTTCGTTGTTTTTTTGGACTATTAAAATCAACTTGTTTTCTTCCTCATGTTAATTAGGGAACTAAATAATTCGTTCGCAATGCTGAATTATTATTATGGATTTTGTTAGGGTTGCTATAGTTTTAATAATCTTCAGACATTGATCTATAATAAACAAAAGTGTTACATATATATATATATATATATTCTTATTATTATTTACTAAAATAAAACTTTCTTTTTTCTCGACGATTTCCTACTATGATTAACATAAAAGGTAATGATGATAGTCGGTTATAGTCAGGGTAACCTTGTTACAAACTGTTACACATATTACGACTAATACTACTACGCTCCTCCCCTCCCCCTCCTCCTCCTCCTGCTCCTACTACTACTATTATTACTACTACTACTACTACTACTACTACTACTACTACTACTACTAGTAATGTTAATAATAAAGTTGATGTTTTGAAACAGGTGTTTCCATAAGAAGACAATATTATCTTGCATTTAATTTCTTGTTTACAGTCCTACATACACACACTCGTGCCCGCTACATGTTTGTTCGTAACTAAACATATCAAATGAAATAACATATTGTGAAGTCAATTTATTTTTATTCTTATTTCTGTCTGCAATTAGCTTAAAGTAATTAAATAGCCGATATTAACTACAGGGTAACGTTTGGTTTCTTTTTATTATTATTATTATTATTATTATTGTTCTTTAATCATGGTAACAAAATGTGGCGTATATGAAAATGCAGAATCATTATCATCATCACCATCTCTATTGAATCCATGATCAGTAACAGCCAGATGGATTGGTAATTATGTAAAAATGCAAAACACTATTATTATTATTATTATTATTATTACTATTACTATCAATACCAAGTTTTATATTCCTCAGGTGTGTAAACAATTCTACTTTTGTACGCCCAAATGGTATAAAATAAACATTAGTATTTTTTCTGAGTTAAACTTTTTTTTACTGATGTTGTCCAGGTAACTTATGATAGATTTTATACACTGAGGAGTTGAAATTTATTGGATAGATGCAAATGGGATATGTCATTGAAAGTTGTACAGTTATTTGAAGAAAAAAAACAATAGAAGTAATAATATAAACAAATAACTAAATAACCACACTAATTAAATTCATTTTGTATTGTTCGTTTGAAACTTTCCATTGATGTTTAGAACTGCAATTGATCTGTCTCTTATTGGCATATGTGCATCTTGTGCTGATTGCTTCAATATTGCCCTAGGTCACAACCATTATAAGCAGAGATGAATGGTGACCAGCGTTGGAACCCAGGATGCGCATCTCGTTTTATTTGGGACGCATCAGCTGGATGTAATGGCATCCTAGAGCTGATGTTCACTCTGGACTCGTACACAATATCGTTCTCTTCAACGAACAATACAAAATGAATTTAATTAGTGTGATTATTTATTTATTTGTTTATATTATTACTTCTATTGTTTTTTCTTCTTCAAATAACTGTACAACTTTCAATGACATATCTCATTTGCATCTATTCAATAAATTTCAATTCCTCGTTGTATGGAAGGAAATGACAGGAAATGACTGACATTAATGTAATGTATTGAAATAAGAATGGAGAGGTCAATCATGTACAAAATATTCGTAATTTATTAAAATTACCACATATTCCTACAAATGATAATAGATGATAGTTTTTCTCCACTACTAATTGGTTGAATTAGTTAAATATAGACAAATTTAATGTTATGATGTATTCCAAACATTTAGTTAAGACTGAGAAGCTTAAATACTTCCAAATTTGATCTTCTTTACAGTTGAGGATATGTATAGTTAGAAATTTTCAAAATGAGCCAAAATACCGGCTGATCATTGGTTTTTAACATTTTTTTAGATGATGTAACTCGGTGGTAAAGATTAGCATCTAGTAACCAATTAATACTGAAATCATACCGTATTTTCAAAGACCTGAATACAATATTTGTCCTGGAGTTCTAGTGAGAAGTAGTGACCACTGAAGTTCAACCGCGTCATTTGTAAGATAGTAACTCACTGATGACAATGGTGGATGTGTCACCCAATTTTGTGGATTAGTCGAAGGTAGACATTAACACCATCGAATGCCGGCTCAGTGGTTTGGAGGTTAAACGTTCGTACGCGAAACTGAAGGCCCTGAGTTCAAACCTCGTGAGGCGGGATCGTCGATGCACACTGCTGAGGAGTTCCGTTATAGGACGAAATGGCCGTCCACTGCTTTCAGGTTTTTCCATGATGGTCTAGCTTCAATTGACTTTTTATCTCAACTTTTGAAATGACTACAATCTCCACAAAACCCCTTCTGATACTCTTAAAATGTACCTACTTATAAGTAGTAAAAGATTAAACAACAAAATGTTCCTCAATAGAAACATGTTAAGAATTATTTTTATTTATTAATTCATTAGTTATACTATTAATAAACCTAAATTATATATACTGGTTTTCGAATATGGTAATAATTTAAATGTAATAAATATAACGAATTGTCCAATTGGTCATTGACATATTCATAAATGATTTCATATGTTTCAATTGTAATAGATCTAAAATAAGTTCTTTATCTTCTAGTGTCACAGAACATTCAAATGAATAAAATGCAGAAATAATAAATTGATAATTAAAACTTTTTATAATTTGTTGAAATGAATGCTGGTTATTAGTTGAATCATTTGGAAGGTTCATTTCAAATTGAAGTAATAATGTCCCATGTTGTGATTGTCTATGACAATCTAAATATACCTATTTGAATTAAATGAGGGAAGCGAAACAGTAGGGAAAAAGGAATGAAATGAAGGGTAAATACCATATATATAATGTGTTTGATTATAGTTAACAGATTATTTCACAGAAGGATAATCAATTTGAATCTATATTAAGTATTGGACTAAAGTGATTACATGTAAATATAGAAAACAAACTAATAATTAAGTAGAATGTGTTAAACTTCATGATATCCACATGTTATGGTCTTATAAACGAGTGGGAATTGATTGCTAATATGATATTTTGAAGATTTTCCAATTACTTTGGAGTTAAGTCACTTTATCGATTGATATTAGATAAAGAGTATTTGAAAAACAGAGATTGGTGAATTACTATTGTTTTCGTTGTTATGACAGGCTACTACTAGATATTTACTAACTCACCCTGTGATCAAACCAAAGACATCCAAGTTTCATGGTCAATAGAACATTGTTAAGTTGTTCAGTTAGAAATTAATGGTTCATATATATTTCGAATTCAGATATCAGTTACTGTTTTATTCAAATTGATGGAATTTCATTCTTTGATCGGAATGGTTCAATTATAGAACTTTTCTTGTACTTTTGAACAAAATTCTCAGTATAAACTTTATGATTTGGTTGACTTCATACATTACAATGGTCTGGAGTTACGGAATAGAAATCATTGTATCCTGAAGTGATGACTCTAACCATGATATCTGAACGTATTGGATAGATAATATTCAGGAGTCTTATGGAGTAAATCAGTTTAACCGTTTACGTTACGTTTATTTTTGATAACCCTCCGACTTATATCATTACTAGTCGAAGTTAATCCCAATTATTTAAGAGTATTTGTAATAATTACATTGTATCACGACCAAATTACATCATTTGAATATACTGTGTGTAGTCATACTTTTTTTTAGAGAAAATATTAGAAAATTATGTAGAGCCCAATACCTCTGGTTTGCTAATATGACTACTTTGATTAGTACATATTACTTAGTATTAATTCCAGTGATTTATACCTATTCGTAGAAAGGAAGTAATAGGTTATTGAAAGTCACTTATTCAGCATAGAATTTATTGATTTAATGAATTGACTATCAGAGAAAATTGAAGGCTTATCAAACATATTATCTACCAAATCAGTTATACTCTAACCTTATGTTCTCATTATGATTTAGGTTTAGTCTTCTACTTCTAGGACGATTCATCACTTAATTCATGTTTGTAGTTCATCGGATTCTTTAATGGCAAGTTATTTATTTGAAGTTTTTTGAATAAACTGAATACTTACAACAGAGGAAAATGGTTTTCATTAAGGTTTCTGATATGTTTTGAAAGAAATTCCTAGAAATACAAATCTAGACTTGGAAGTAATGTAATTTTGTTTGTCTTCATATATCTAATATCAAAATATACTCTACTTTACCATGTTATTTTATTCTATTCCATTTTAAAGTTTAATGAAACAGACTAACTTTGATATTTTTAATCTTCTGATTATTCAACCATATCTGATATGTTTCAGGACCTGTGGAAACAAAGTAAAACAAAAGTTACTTTAAACAAAAGACGTTCTCTTATGAACAATAATAAAAGTTATAATGAAACTGTTTAAGATTTTTTTCAAAATCGAAATGTATATTTCATTACTACGATTGTAATGAACGTGAACATAGATAGGGACAACCAAAATAGTCTAATACAATATTACAGAGTTCTTTAGTAAAATGTGAAACCAGTACTTCATTTGAAAATCTTGCATTAATTGTCTCAAACTTCGTTGCTCCTTCATTGCCATAACAATTACTCACTGTTCTCGTTCATTTCGATTCGATCTTCTCAACCTTCTGTTACCAAGCATCCCATTTCTGATTAATGTTATATACTACTTATATCTGTCGACATAAGTACCACACTACTACTAGTACTAAGCTATAAGGTTATACTAAATATTTAATGATATATTACTTACATATAATAATTTCATTTGATTTATTGTTAATATGCAAATTCCAAATAAGAAGTCCATTTACATTAACTGGGTAGAAAGTCTCTGAGATTCTAAAATGTAAATATAACATTTTGAAATGACCGCTAATTGTATATTTAAAAAAAAAACTATTGACAATACACTAAAAGTAAAATTTATTATTCGTAAGACGAATAAGGATGAAAGTTCTCTTATTACATCATTTTTCAACAGATATATAAGTGGTATGCTGTTAAGTGTTCAGAAATGTTTGACAGGAAATCTTATACATAGATTTCGTGTTCATTGGCATTCATCAGTGATATATATATCTAAAATCTTGAGGAAAATGATGTACCTAAGTTGATTTAGACCTATATCGTCCAGTTTAACAGTCCGAGACATACAGGGTTCCTTGCTGACTGCCTCTAACTACCTCATATCAGTACATATTACGTGAGAGATCAAGTCACTTAAATTAGTGACCACATTCTAACTTGATTGCTAGAATTCAATTAGGATTTAGGTAACTAGGCACATATGAAGTTGGTCATTGCTTATTGATAAGTCAGTGTAAGTGGTTTTCTTGTAATATTTTGTATGATTACAGAAGTAATTTCATCAAAAGGTATCTGAAAAATTGATTTCACACCCTGAAATTCCCCATCTGAAATAAAGAACACAAATCTTCCTATCAGTTATGATAAATACTTCGGAAATTATAGTAAGTTTTGAAACCATATGGGATCAATCTCACTCATAAGCCAACGTAACCAGTTTGTTCTGTTTTGCGCAAACCGAAAGATGCAACACAGAAGTCCGATAACCTATTGAGAAACAGGAAATATAAGATAGCTGTTTCATTTTAGTATGAGATATCCGAGACTTATAGGCTTTGCTCTGCGCTTGTAACTTTTGGACTCCCGAGTTACCACTCAGTAGTTACCATTTACAACCTCAATCAATTCAAGCCATTGAGTTACCTTTATTAATTTACATCAGTGTTATTTATCTCACGTCTTCTATGGTTGAACTTTACTGGTCAAAATTCACATTAAAACTCTGAGACCTAAGGATTTTATGTCTTATCCCTGATGGCATCTTGGATATGTACTGCTAATTAGTGATTTTAAACAGGTATAAAGTGAATATTCAGAAATGTTTCGTTTTCAATAGTTTCCTAGATACTATCATTTCTTGATGTGAATAACTTTCAAACTGAAACAGAAAATATCTATGAAAATAGAATAGATCAAATAATAACATATTGCCATAGAATTAAAAATGGGAAGTTAATGAATTAGTGTACTGAACTTAATGGTTTTAATGTTCATATCTGTTCAATCATAAAAAAAAGTTATTGGACAATTATCAGAGTAATACAAGTTCTATTATCCTTTATGTTTATTTGTATTCAACGTCAGACAAAAATATATAATGTTAATAGATACACTTAAGCTAGTAATGAGACATCATATGAACTTCAACACTGAAATGAATGCACATTCAGCTGATGTACCACATATATGATGAACTAAATATCCTGGATCCTCACAATCCGCATATTCTGTCATAAAGCAGCCATATTATGACTTACTAATAATCTACTACGTTAATCGTCTATTAATCATCCCAAAAAGTTATAGACTTGTAGATGTGTGCAAAGCTGATGAAAATTAGCTTATTTAATTCATACTTCAATTGAACAAGAAGCAATGGTCAAAGATTTTGATTGTTTGCACAGGTATCATACTGTTTACTAACCAAACTATTTTGAAATATGTAGACACTTGAAGTAATCGAAACTCTAATAATATATCGTATGAATCATTTGTAAATAGTCTTCTGTAATTATGAAATGTCGATTTCAGTTTCAGAAAATCTGAAAAAATGTAATCATCTTTGGGATATGAAGCTAATTAACCCTGATAAAGGGAAGTCCAACTGTTTGTCTGATATACGGGTTACTTTGACGCTGAAAAATCTTCATATTATTAAGAATGATTTGCAGCTATAGTTTACGTAGTCTGATAATCTATATACATTAATCTGCCGTTAAGTAGTAACTAGTCTCATAGTTAATCCCCAACAGTGAATAATTTCCGGAGTACGTTGGAATATGGTACAACCAGTTCATTTGTAACGAGTCTGTCAATTGCAGTGAATGATGTTTGTTCAAATCGAATGAGATTTGACAATTCCGTCAAGATTGTTGATAAGTCTTGATGAGGAGTGCTAACTATCAGAAAGCTTAGGGCTTCTTGATTACTGTTATCGATTATTCAAAACCTCCGGCATATTTCGTTGTTTAAAAGTTTATTTATTTAAAAAGGATTCCAACAATCCTTTTAATCAAATTTCTCAGACATATATTCATATTACTTGTAAGCAAGTGTCTTCTCCAATACAAAGTGATTCTTAACAAGACAAATAATTGACAACCTTGCAAAATTCACATATCTCTATCCCCAATGAGTATGTGATCGAAGGTCATAAAGACTTCATTTTACAAATTCTACGGAACATCAGTCCTTTTTGCCATCAAAATGCTCTCTGCTTGTGCCAACACACTTATCATACTTCTTTCTCTATCACATGAAATATCCGTGGTAGTCCTTACGAATCTAAGTCTTCAACGGTTTTGTTGTACCATGTTCTATTGTCTCTTTAAGTCCTTTACTAGAGTTAAGTACCTATATGGTTTCTTAGAATTTTGTTTATCATCAATCAACTAGACAGAAATAGGCAATCGGAAGACAAAAGAGACTCGACACGTTTATATTCTCGTCAACACAGGAAGTATATGGTGATCCTGATCTTCAATCGTTCTCATAGAATTCATGCATAAAACTGAGACTAATAGTCTATGCTATATTTGTGTAATCAGACTTCAATATCTCATGAATTTTATAGGTTGTTCTCCTGAGTTTCATTGGTAATCTGATGTGTTACTGTTTAGTTCTTGTAATTATTGAACAAAATTAAACAAATACATACATGAAACAAATTTCATGAATACCTTATTTGTTTTCTGTCATTATTGGAAACATCCAGTATTGAATGATTGATATGAGATTTCAATTCATTTAGATCATTTACAGCTTGAAAATTATCATTAAAATTGGATGAATCCAATAGTTTATCTTCTTCTAACCATAAAGGATTGGATGATTGTTGAAAATTATCTGACAAATTATATTGATTTTCTTGTTTACATTTTATATCATTATGATTTAATTGTTTACGTGTATGCGCTAGAAGGAGAACAATTCTGGACATAGTCTGTATAATAGAATATTGAAAACCAAAAAGAAACATTTATACGAGGAGCTATAAAATCATTGTATATTGAAGTAACTCAAAGTAGGACAATAAACAATCTGATACTAATCAACATATGCTCACTAGTGACTGGCTTCAAGAGATATATCCTCGAGTTCTAGTGAGAAGCAGTGACCAGTGGAGTTCAACCGGGTCAGTTGTGAGGTAGTAACTCACTGATGACAGTAGTTGGATGTGTCGTTCAATTTCGTGGATTAGTTGAAGTTAGACATTAACACCATTGGATGCCGGCTCAGCGGTCTAGTTGGTTAAGCGTCTGGCGCGAGACTAGTAGGTCCTGAATTCCAATCCTGCTGGGCGGGGTCGTGGGTGCGCACAATAGGACGAAACGGCCGTTCAGTGCTCCCAGGTTTTCCATGGTGGTCTAGCTTCAATTGACACATGATCTCAACTGTTGAAATCTGAAAACAGTTTTGACTTAAACCATTGAAAATTATGTAACACTGGATATCTAATTTGTCCAAAGTTCCGAACCACTATTCACTAGTGCACATACACACACACATTACCTCAAGATCTTGGGGAAAATATGTTCTTTAAAATATTTAATTGTCATTTCGTAAAGTAAACCCTCAAATTAATTTATTCGTGATATTATTCCATAATCATCCAGTCATATGGTTGTCCCAAGCTAAGATCCCTTTATTTTTTATAACTATCTGCTTCATGTCGATTATGAACGAAAAATGTCTTCATACTACCCTAATCTCTGCAAACCAGTAGCTTGGAAATGGATTTCCAAAATGCCATTAAGAAATTGTAGCAGCTGGGGTTAAGTGAGGTTAGAAGTAAACAAGGTACCATCGATTATGATTGATGAATATCATAGTATTTAACGAAATCTCAAGTGATGGAAATTTCAACACTGAATCTCAACTCAGTAGTCTATAAATAATGTGATTACCATCAAATATAAATGCCCCGTATTCAATCCCACATGTAGGTTTATAGGTGCCGGTTAGTGAAGATTCCTAAACTAGGTCTAAACAACTATTCGACTACTTCCTAATTCTAATTAATATCAGTCTGAGGTTAAGCATATCCCAATATAATAATGGCCACGTTATTATATCAGAAACCACATAATTCTAATATAACTAAAAATGAATTATATGCATTAAAACATCTGAGAAGTGATAAGACAATTATCATTACGAGAGCAGATAAAGGGAACACGACAGTTATTATGAACAAATCGGACTACGAGGAAAAAGCCAGGGAACATCTACAAGAGGGTTCGTATGAACTAATTAAAGAAACGAAAAGTAGAACGACGCTTACTAAACTTAAAGATGAAACCAGTAAAATCTTGCAGTCGTTATAGGTTAAACTAGGATCATCATTATGGTTCATGTTATATCCAAAGAGTTGTAGCCCTCGTAGATTCTATAGACTTCCAAAGATTCACAAGAATAATACTCCACTAAGACCAGTGTTTGATTTTACAAATTCACCGACGTGCAATCTAGCGAAATACTTAGCTAAGATACTTAAACCGTATGACAAACTGATTAGTCATGAAATTAAAAAATCTATGGAATTCAAGAATATTATCGATACCATCTATGTGGAAGAGGATGAAATATTGGCAAGTTTTGATGTATCTTTCTTATTCATTAATTTACCTGTCAATAGAGAGTTGGATATTATTCATGATTGCTTAGAATCTGACTCAGATATGAATTTACGATGCCTATTAGATCCATCTGAAGTTATTAAATGTTTGGAATTATGCTTAAGATCCACCTTATTTACATTTCGAGGAGACCTTTACAGACAGAAAGAAGGTATAGCAATGGGTTCACCAGTTTCTCCGATTGTAGCGAATTTATTTATGCATTCCCTAGAAACCAGTGCAATCACAAGATGTGTATGCCCACCAATGGTCTGGTTATGGCATGTAGATGACATTCTTATTATCATTAAACGGGATGGCTTAAAAGAATTGTTTGAAAATGTAAACATCATTTCGGAAAAGCATTAAGCTAACGAAGGAAGTTGAATCCGTTGACCACAAACTAGCGTTTCGCGATTGTTTGGTTGAACGAAGACAATCATAAGAAGTTGAAAATAAATGTATTCAGGAAATGAACACATTCTGAGAGATACTTAGATTATGGTTCGGCTCATGCGCAGTGTACGAAAGTCAATGTTGTAAAAAACTTAATGAACAGAAGTATTAGGCTAGTTACAGATAAGAAAGACCAACAAGTTGAATGGAATAGAGTATTGTCTACAATTAGGGATAACAACTACCCAAAAGAGTTTTTAAAGAAGATTGTTAGAAACGAAAGAAAAATTAAACTAGGATGTATACTGAAAGATTAGAAGTCCACAGTGGTCATCCTGTACAGTAGTGAAACATCGGAAGAAATCAAGCGGATTCTAAACAAGCAAGATGTAAGAGTGTATTTTCGGGCATGTGACACCATAAGATCAGCATTAGTTGAAGTTAAATATAGGTTCCCAAATGAAGAAAAACGAAATATTGTCTATGAGATCGACTGTCATGACTGTAATGCAGCTTATGTGGGAGAAACATCCAGACAATTGAAGTTAAGGTTGAAGGAACACAAACAGTGTTTGAAAAATGTTCCCAAATCCTCGGTTGACTTAAAGAAACTTGAGAATAAGTCTGTGATCGCGTTACGTGCGTTAGAAACAGGACACAAGATTAATTTTGAAGGGACCAAGATACTTCAGAAAGGCTTTAACACTCATAAAGAAAGATTGACAGCAGAAGCGCTGTATATATGGGCGAACAAGAACAGCCTGAACCGAAAGGCTGGTATTCAACTAGCGACTACTTGGCAAATATTCGTTGACAAGTAATGGGACCCTTTCTCTATTCAACCTGTTTATTTCACATGCATCGTTATTTTGACTGAAAGTAATGTGAGTTATTTTTAGCAATACGATTATGTATTTGATGATTCCCATTTTATATGCACATGATTCGGAAACAATTTTCAACCTTCAACTTGCACTTTTATTTTATTTATTCCTTCAGATAAAAACATATTAACACCGAATATCAAACATTAATAACTCAATCTTACACATACATACACACACACAGACAATTCGTTCAGTCATTTATTTTCACGTTGTGAACTTTTCACATGATTCTCATTTAACTGACTCATGTTATCCCATTTACTAAAAATCAACATTCAAATATGGTTGGATTAGCACAGTATAGATTTGATTGTTAAAACGCTATATATTCCATTGATGATTTTAATGACGATTATTACTCTGAGGAAGTCCAGACAAGTTAACTGGACGAAACGTTGGAATTATTTTAAAATTCAATTGCCGAGATTATTTCAAATATAATTTTCACATATAATAACTTATCCCAGTATATTGATTGAGATCACGAACCGATTGTTGTTAGACCACCATTAAAACCTGGAAGCATTGGACGGCCATTTTGTCCTACATTGGGACTCCTCAGTAGTGCGCATCCACGATCCTTCCGTGGCCATCCAGTGAGGGAATTCTCGGAGTTCTAGTGAGAAGCCGTGAACATTAGAGCTAATCCGTGTCGGACAGAGACAGGTATCTACCTCAGTACAATGGAAGATGGTCGCGCAATCTCGTGGATTGGTGGACGTTAGACATTAACACCAATGGATGCCGGATCAGTGGTGTAGAGGTAAAGCGTTCGCGTGTGATACTGAAGGTCCTGGGTTCTGATGCCTGGTGCGCACTCCTGAGGAGTCCCATAATAGGAGGAAACGACTGTTCAGTGCCTCCAGGCTTTTAATGGTGGTCTAACATCAGTCGTTTCGTGATCTTAATTAAAAACTTAATCTCCACAATCCTATTCTGATATCCCAGCATAGTTGAAAAGTTTCCATGAAAATTTATTCCCTTTGTAGGTTGTATTTTTCACAGACTAGATTTAATTGAGGTACATCTGAATAACAGGAATCACTAAATAGTTGTTTGATCCTAGTGTAGAAATCCTCATCGGGAACTGAACATAAAACCTCCAAGTCTCATGGGGGATACTTAGTAATTAAAACCACTGAGTCAGAATCCACTGGTGTAAGAAGAATGAAAGGATACTGTAATTAGAATCATTCCATAGTTGAAGGTTATATAGTATACCGAAAGTAAGGGCATTTACAAGGACATGAATATCTTTGAGATAGTAGAATCTTGTAGAGAACATGTAAAATTGATAAAAAAAACTTGACGGTTGGTCAATTAGGATATAAGAAAGTTTAGTTAATCATTATACAGAACTTAGCACTCACATCATTATAGCAAGATGGTTAGAACTAATTACTATACCAGTTCTCTAAGAAAGATATGTCACCTTTTGCTATTCACTAGTTTAATAGCCAAGAAATTATCATAATGCATAGATATTTTAGTATTTCTGTAAATTGAAACTTATCCAGGAATTAATCTGATTAGCTAATAACTAACCTTTGACAATAGTCACACCATAATTATATATACTTGAAATAATTACTAATTATGTTTACATTATGGACATTGTACATTGGTTAAATGATTCACAAAGAATAATCAGTCAGCTGATCATTAGTTCTTTCTATAATAAGTAACCTATTGATTTGAGTATTACATATATCAAGTGTACAAAATTAATTCTTTTTAATAGACATTATTTTAAATAATTAGATTACTGATTTTGTAGTGAATCAGAACACAAATGGAGATAATCAAATGCATTTGAATACAAAATTACAGAACATCTTAGTAAAATCTGAGAACCATACAGTAAATACTCCTGCAGTTGAAATCATGAGTCAATTGAAGCTAGACCACCATGGAAAACGTGGAGGCACTGGACGGCCGTTTCGTTCTAGTATGGGACTCCTCAACAATGCGCATCCACGACCTCGCCTCACAAGATTCGAACTCAGGACCTATCGGTCTCGCGCACGAACGTTTAATCT